CATAGGTCGTCATGGTGTGATGCATTTTTCAGACGCAATAAACCTCTCTCCAAATACAGAAATGTTCAGTGATTATTTGTAATCAAGTATCTAATTATGCTAATTACAAGTTCAGCACTAGAAATGTATGTAATCATTTCAGTATATGGTCTTATTCAATTACAATCTTTTTTGTCATGCCTATAACACCACTCCTTCATACAAAGAACTTGGTTCGAAATCCATACTTGTTCTTTGTAAAGCATGAAAAGGAGGTTGTGGGGGGAAAAAAAGGGGCAACCAAGGCACACTGGTCAGAGACCAGATAGCTGAGAAGTCAAATATTACAAGACAAACCTAAGATCACAATCTTTAGGTGTTTTAGAGACTTAAGGGGAGATGCGAGTCGAAAAATCGCATTTTTAGCGAAATTTCTCGTATTTCTGATTTTTATTGCATTGTAATCTTCAAACCTTCTTCTTTCATCTGTGAAAATTTCAAAACTAAACTCGAACCGCAAAATGCAAAAAAATGTGTATGAAGGCATCGCGGTGGCTCAAAATTTGGTGAATTTGCACCGATATTGGCCATCTTTGACTGCGCGCTGCTCCCCGTCGCAGTGCCGCCCGCCATCGCGATCGGTTGGGAAAGTTGCGTCTGCCCTTCTTCTTACAGCTCCGACGAGCGCCAGTTTCGTACGTGGGCAAAAAAAAATAATAAGAAACGAGGCCTTTTTATCATGTGGTTTGAGCGGTGTGAAATGCGCGGCACCCTAAGCCGCATCGCCATTAGCTACCGAGTCATTGTCAGCTGTGTTGGTGGCGGCCATCGGCATTTGGTCCGTCTGCTTTTATGCGCGTCTATGCATATTTCCGCGATGACAAGCCCGAAAAAGTGCAACGTGAGACCGCAGAAGTTTCGAACGAAGCACAAGTTCAAGGGAAGGCGGCGTAAAGCGCCCCGAACGACGGCGATGAACGAGAACGCGCCTACGTGTGCTAGGCCTGACGGCGGCATCGACGAGTGCGCGAGCGACAGTCGCTGCGATGAAGGGATTGACGCTGCGCTTTCTTTCGTCAGTGCTTCGGAAAAGAAGCTCGGCTTCTTCGAAAAAGACGAAAGACAGCGCGATGTGGTTTGTGCAACGACAGTTTTGTGCGACACCCTCTTGCTGACGGCACTTGTGGCAGGTGCGGCATGTCCTGCTTGCGGTATTCAAAAACTTGCCGTTCGGGAGCCGGCAGAAAAGCGCAAGGGACTTTCGTCGCTCCTCGAACTTCATTGTGAAAACAGCGAATGCTCAGCGACTGTTCTTTCGTGCTCCTATACGTCACTGCGTGTTACGGCGGACGGCAGCAGCCGAGTGAGCCAACGGTACGACAGTGGGAGCTCCCGAGATAGTTTCACTGTAAATGTGAAGGCGGTGGTGGCTGCACGCGCTGTCGGCATTGGGCATGAGCAATTGTCGAGATTTTGCTCCATTATTGGACTCCCAAAGCCAATGCACCACCGAGGATTTTTTTTCGATAGCAAAGAAGGTGCACACCGCTGCCATGGCAGCTGTGAGTGAAAACTTGCGCCGATCCAGAGAGTTGACGAAAGAAGTAGCAGGCGAAACTGATGTGGCTGTTATGTTCGATGGCACTTGGCAGAAGAGGGGCCACAAAAGCCACAACGGGATTGGCGCAGTTATTTCCTTAGATACTGGCCTCTGCTTAGACTTCGAGGTCATATCAAATTACTGCCTGACATGCAGTAGGCACAAGGATATGGGCCCAGACGAGGAAGTGTGGCAGGCATTCCATGGCCCAGTCTGTGAAAAAAATGCAGACTGTTCCTCCCATGCCATGGAAACGGAGGCTGTAATGCGCATTTGGCAGAGAACATTGACTTATGACACCCCACTGCATTTCATGACATTCTTGAGTGACAGTGACAGCAAAGCATATAGTGCAGTTGCAGAGTCAAGTCTATGGTGCTGTCAATATAGAAAAAGAAGACTGCACTAATCATGTGGCCAAGAGACTTGGCACCGCGCTACGGAAGCTGCATGTGCCATTACCACGAGGGCAGAAAATGAAAGAGCCAGCCATTCAGAAGCTCCAAACATACTATCAGATTGCCATAACAAGCAACAGGGGGAGTGTACGGGATATGTACACTGCAGTATGGGCTTCGTACTTCCACTCATGCTCTACTGACAATGCTGGCAGCCAAAAGTTTAGCCCTGCAGGAACAGAGTCGTGGTGCAAACATCAACGCGCTGAAGCACTTGGTGAACCTGCACCACGCCACACACCTCTCCTGACAAAAGCACAGGGATTGGCTGTTTTGCCCATTTATAAGCGGCTAACGGATGAGAAGCTCCTTGCTCGATGCATCAAAGGGAAAACCCAGAACGCATCGGAATCCCTGAACAGCAAAATTTGGCTACTTTGCCCCAAGACTAAGTTCGTCTCCCGAACGGTTGTTGAGACTGCCGCAGCTATGGCAATCCTGTGGTTCAACAAGGGTCATGCTACTTTCGAGCACATCCTGGAAGAGCTCAACATACTGCCATCTAGAGATCTAGTTACTTTCAGTGATTCCCGCGATGCGAGGCACATCAAGAGAATGTCCGAGCGTCTGACAGCAGAAGCAAGGGCCCACCGTCGTCGTGGAGTGAAAAGGGCACTGCTAGAAGAGAGTGCTCGCAACGACCGTGAGGGCACAACCTATGCTGCAGGACAGTTCTAGTAACTTGCAGTGCTTTTCAAAGTTCTGTTGAACATTATGGCCAAAGATTATGCATTTCTAACAACTCTGTGATAAAAAAAAAAAGGTTTCAAACTTTCAAATGCGTTTTTCTCCTTTTGCAGTTTTGTGTGATCTGTGCTTCTTATACACGCTAGTTCGTATACTTAGAATTGTCATACCTCTATGAAATTTTGACCATAGCATGGTGAAGGCTCATAGAGTGCAAGTATCTATTCAGATTGTCAGTACTGCTTGATTATATTTTTCAAAAATTACATAACATTGAAAGCCCTTGGCAACTAGAGCCATAGTAAATTTTTCTATTTTATTATTGTATTTCACCTTTTTACTCACAAAATTTATACAGTTTTTTGCGCTCTACAGTTCCAAAGGATCATAGTCAGCTATATCTGCATGCTTTATCTCAAATTTTTATAGGTAAGAATTGTTGCATAACAATGGCCATAATTTTGCAGTATCTGACCTGCAGAAAGAAAACCAAGCAATCTACATGAAAATAAATGAGATATTTGAAAAGAGGAGAAAAAACTCTATTAGCATGCCAATTTGTGTTAAATTCAGACTCTTATTAAAGAAAATCGTTTTTCGAGTAGCATCTCCCTTTAAAAAGAAGTTGAAACTTTAAACGCAGTTTTCTCAATACTGTTTTATGCTCAGCTCCTGGAGCAGATATCTGGGCAAGCACTGTACAGATTTTGATTTCGTTTATTTTGTAATGCTCCTTGAACTGTGCTTCAGGGGGCTGCGATCTTAGTTTTTCATTTTACTCCTTGAAGAATTTTTTATAGGCTTTCTTGTTGGTTGTGCAAGTGTGCTCATTGCAGTGTGGCTTGAGAAAACGTTAACTACAAGTTTTAGTGTTGCAAAAAAATGATTTTGAGAACGCAGCCCTCTTTAACATACATTTGGCTTTGCATACAGTAATTACCAGCTATTTTTGTTATCTAATAAATCCTCTAGCCCCTCCACGAGGTTTAAATAAAGAATAATTCATCTCGCATTAAGTATTCGTGCTATCACCTCCAAATTTTTATGGATGCACGGTGAGGCCATTCTCAGTGTGTGTGCCAATTTTCATCATCATCCGACCAGAAACAAGAAAGTTCATTGTCAAAGGCACGTCCCCCCTTAATAAAGATTCACAGAAAAAAGAAAAAGAAAACCGGTTTGGTCACTAAGTGAATGTTTTTATGGACCAGTTTGTATACAACAAACTATTGATATAATGATCACTTATCATGGCACTTTCAAGTTCATTATGAATGGGTTTGACTGTATTTGCATAATTTGGAAGATTTTTTTAAAATTTGAGATTCCCCTGTGCAAATTAGAAGTGTTGGCAGGTGTGCATAGAACAGTGCTATACTTTTGCATGGAATTTTCCGGAAAGTGTTACAGCTGTTTTATGAAGTAAATTATCACTTGTAGTGTACACGTATCCTGAAGGAGTACGGCCACTAGTGTGGGTACGTTTTAAGCCGCAGGGCACGTGTTGATCGTCGCCGTAGCGAGAACACGGCACTGCTTAAAGTCGCAGTACTTTGTCTGCGGCAACGGCAAAACGCAGTACAGAACTCATTGCAAAAGACGTGGCGAGAAAGCAAATGGGCTTATTCACGCTGCGAGCGAGAAGTACTGCACTGGGTGCCGCGAGCGGGTCCCCGTGGGCAGAAGTGATTCACGGGGACACCGGGACAAAAGTGCCGGTTGCTCGAGTGAGGGCAAAAGTGTGCTTGCTTTGGCTTCGGAGAGATACCGGTCGGCATAGTTTGACCACGCACTAAGATACCGCACCGCTTTTCGGCCTAGCATTCGCAAGGGGCAACAAAAAGTGAGCGTTTGCCGCGGGCACAAGGCGCTGTTGCCTTCCGCCGTTGGCGAAGTCCAAAGAGCCCCTGAACAATAGGAGTTGACGGACGGAAAAGAAATGCGTGCTCACCGTAAGCTGTCCTGGAGAGATCGGACTCATTCCTGATGTACGCGTGCAAAAAGTTCCAAAAGACTTCGGGCGCGGCGCCACAGTCGACATCCGCTACCGGGTGAGAGGGGTTAAACGTCAATCCTCGCTCCTCCAGTGCGGCAGACCGCGGAAGAGGGGAGTCATATCGGGACATGAGAACGGCAGAAATAAGCGGCAAAGCCCGCACAAAGGCGGAAGGGTAGCCTCAATTCCCACACATTCTATTCAAGTTTGTCTTGCTTATCACTTACGTGGTATCAGCCATCAACTTTGGTATCAACCACCAACTTTGTGCATATTTCAGGGAGCGCTCAGGATGCATCCGCAGATTTGCCTCCCTCTGTCACTGCTAAAGATGTGAAGATGTTCAAGAAGGCACAGGAGATAGCATTAAAGGTAAGCATACATATATACTAATTCATAATTTCATGGTCCTGTGAGTCTGGTGCTTGATTAAAGCATCAGCTGCTGCTTTGCAAGCATTTAGTTGTGTAATGAAGTCTTTGAAATCGGGAGCTTCTATGAAGCACTACTAACATACTACTAAAAATAATCAAGCATCTTGCCAAAAGTGCATACAGTAGGGCTACGATTTTATCAAATGATCTGCACTTTTTCTTTTTATACCTGGCTTAAGGGGGCACACGGGTCTTTGGGGCCGAAAAATTGCCCAAAAACGCATTTTTTTTAGATGTCATTTTTGAAATCTACAGGTATTTTTCTATTAGTTTGCTCAGTTTTTCCTCCGAAAAGTTGGTACTTGAACAGTAAGAGCTACTTATAAAAGCCGTACGGGCCCGATTTGGCGAGATTATGACGCCAAAATGGCAATTTTTCAATAATTCCCCGCAGCTGCGCCACGGGCAGTATCGCAGTGATCTAGGTCTCATTTGAAAGCGCGGTCTTCGTTCTTCAATTTCCCGCCACCCTGGCTCCTGTCCGCTCATTGGTAGAGTAGAAAACACGCGCCAAAAAAAGCAAAAATACGCGTTCCTATTCGCCGGCGAGCGCACGTGACTAAACAGCGCAACGCGATTGGCCGCAAGCGGCGTGTGTAGTCTGCTTCGCGCTGTCGGCGGCGCAGTCAGGCGCCATATTGCTCGGACTGAGAACGACGGATTAGCCAAGGATCGCGCGTGATGTGGAAAGCCGGAAGGAAATTCCACACAAGGAATCAGTACGGCAAAAAAAGAAAGAAGTCGCTCCTCGAGAACTTCAAAGGCCGTTCCGTGTCAGCGAGGAGCGCTGAACGAGCAAGCGACCCACCTTCCGTGGCCAGCGGCGAGGCCCCTGATAACATAGGCCTAGCACCTCCGCCGCCGCCCGCTCAAGATAACGCATCCGACAGCGGCCGCGTTCGTCTTGACACAGCAGTGCTGCACCCGTTAGAAGTGGCAGAGGTGCGTCGCAACGCCGAAAACAAGCTACAAGAGCTCGCTTCAACTGGAGCAACACAACGCAAGTGCGGCCTGTTAGCCGATATCGACGATGCCGCAGCCACGCCGCTGGACGAAACACGGTTTTTGATCGTGAGTTTGGACCAGGTGAACAAACTGATGCGTGCAGTGAAGTGCAAATTGTGCTCCGGTGATGTAAACATCGGCAAAGAGGACAGGGAGTACGGCCTTGCCGTAAAGCTAGTGCTTACGTGCGCGACCTGCGGCGATGTGTCGGTGGCATGGAGCTCGCCGCGCGTTGGCGGCGAGAGCAAGGCAAAGCGTTTGCCATCAATGTTTGGGCGCGCGCGCTATGCAGTCTACTGGCAATCAGCAAACGGCATTAACGACGTTTTTCATCGATGAACATTTCTTCGCGCGGCCTGCACAACAAAACGTGGCAGAGCTACGTGAAGACGAAACTGACGCCCGCAGCTGTTCGTGCGTCGGAAAAGCTGACCGCAGAGTGCGCGCGATCGGTTCGGGAACTGTACGCGGAACTGGACCTCGCCAACCCGGGCAACATCGCTGTGTCGTACGACGGTTCCTGGATGACGAGGGGACACTCGTCGCACATCGGAGTCGGCACAGTTATCGAGTTGTTTACGGGGCTTGTGCTCGATTATGTCGTGCTCTGCAATTTTTGTGCCGGCTGCGAGCGGGCGCCTAAAGAAAGTGACCCGTCCTAAAGACCAGTGGAAAGCGAACCGCCACTGGCAGAAAAACAGCACAAAAAAAGCTGGAGAGATGGAAGTGGAAGCTGCCCTCATTCTGTTTCAGAGGTCGTGGGAGCGTCATAAGCTGAGATACACTACAGTTCTTTCTGATGGCGACTGCCGCACCTACCCTGCTTTGAAGGAAGCAGATGTGTATGGTTTTATAAAGGTAACCAAAGAGGAATGTGTGAACCACGTCCAGAAGAGGATGGGCACGCAACTGCGCAATCTCCCCAAGCAGAGGCCAGCTGGCTCTGAGAGCCTCAGTGGTAGGGGGCGGCTGACTGGTGACCTGGTTAACAAATTGACCTCTTACTATGGCTGGGCCTACGCGCTACATGCCCTGGACATGGGCAGGGCATGTAGCGCGTAGACAGGATAACCGCTGGTCATTAAGGGTAACTGACTGGATTCCCAGAGAAGGGAAGCGGGTTAGGGGGAGACAGAAGGTTAGGTGGGCAGATGAGATTAAGAAGTTTGCGGGTATAAATTGGAAGCAGCAAGCACAGGACCGGGTTAACTGGCGGAACATGGGAGAGGCCTTTGTCCTGCAGTGGACGTAGTCAGGCTGATGATGATGATGATGATGATGGCTGGGCCATCAAATCTCACAAAGGGGACGTGCCAGCCATGCACAATGCGGTGATGTCCACATACCACCGTGTGACGTCCAACGATGCCGTGTCCAACCACAGCCTGTGCCCTACAGGTCCTGACTCGTGGTGCCGCCAGAACGCTGCTAAGGCCAGGGGTGAGCCGGCCCCCAAACACCGCTACAACCTGCCGCCGCATGTCTGTGAGGCCTTGCTTCCAGTGTACGAACGCTTGGCGGACAAGAAGCTGCTGGAGCGCTGCCAGCGAGGCAAGACTCAGAACAGTAATGAAAGTCTCCACTCTGTGATTTGGTCGCTGGCCCCGAAGGAGCGCCATGCATCACTGCACAGTGTAGAAGCTGCAGTCGCCGAGGCAGTGATGAGGTTTAATGCCGGAAGTCAAGTAACATCATCCAAGATCCTCAAAGAACTGCTTGAACCCCGGCCTACTGAGTAGCAAACGCATGGCTGAAAAAGACCGCCGCCGAACCAGGGACTCTACCCTCAGGCGTGCGTCTGCAGAAAATGTGCAGTGGACGCTCAAGAAGCGGCACCTGGATGCCAGCAGTCAAGGGGACTATGCTTCTGGGGCCCACTAGTCATTTCGCTCCAAAAATGTACAGAATGTTTTAAACCGTTACATTAAACATGGCACCGTTGTGTTTTTTTGCCATTTTCTCAAAATGCATATTTTGACGGTTTAGGAAATTCTTGAGAGGTACATCTCGGCATGCGGGTGCAGCTAGAAAGATAATTTCTTTTGCATTGTCAAGCTGAATGTTTAAACCTTGAAGTAAGGGAAACAGATTTTGCTTTTCACGTTTAAATAATTGTTTATTAGCATTGTTTATAACTGGTTAGCAGGCATACTTTAAACAGAGAAATTAGAATTGATGTAAACTTGCATGTGTGATTGCCAGACAAAAAAAACCTGCTTCCGTCATTTCATTCTCCACAACTTCTAGTATCTATTCATGCCATGCTGGTAATTTTTTGTTGACTAATTTTTTCTATTGTTCTCAAGAACAATCACGAAAGATTTTTAATTATCTCGGGAACTAATTAGCTTACATCAAAACTAATTGGATATTTGAAATCAGCTAAAAGAACTGAACAAGCCCATGGAGTTTCATTAAAATTGGTTGGAAAGCAAAAAAAAGTTTAAGACCAGTGTGCCCCCTTAACATTTGTTGCATGAAAGGGCAGGCATAAGGAGTTTGAAAAGCATCCATGAAAATTTATTTAAAGGCATGCCATATGACAGGAAATATTGAAGTCAGTAGAAAAAAAAAAGCTTTGTTGCATCTTTAGAACTCTTATTTTTGCTTCTTTAAGTTTTCTGTAAGCTTGTAATATACTATGATAAATGAGAAGTATCTTTCCCTTGCGTGTGGCTTTACAACAGGGCCATTACAAGCTATAACCTATCTGAATGATGCCATCGGCTTCACTATTTTGCACCAGTTATGGTTCCAGAATAGTCATAAAAGCTTTGAAAATATAAAAAGGTCTTCTTTGCACTACAAAAGCATACCGCAAGAACCGGAATATAGGTTGACCCCCTCCCCATTTTTGAATCGCCAAAAAAGAAATTTTTAAAGATTGCTAAGTATCGCGGCACACTGTTACCTTGTTAAGTACGCGACACAACCAGCTGCACTGTGGTGGTTTTTCTTTTTATTTTGACATTAATCTTATGTAGTTAAACGCCTTAAGGCCACAAATTGTTGTCACTCAGACTTGTCCGAACTTTAGTCCGGCGATGTCTGTTTCTCACTAGTTTTTATCCAATGCATTGCTGATGCAGCATTTGCGAAAAGACTTGCACACTATCTCTTCCTGGAGAGATTTCCAAGCTGACGACACCCAGCCACGAACAGTTGTGAGCGGTGGACAATCTAGGTGGCCAGCAGGGGTCTTGGGATTGTCTTCCAGAATCCACTCATTGTAGAGCTCGCGTACGCTATCCTTGAAGGGTAATCGAGCACTACGTCCAGTGGCTGGAGGACTGATGTTAGTCCCCGAGAGGTCATGACAAAGTCCATCTTGCCATTGGACAGAGCTCCTTTTACATTGGCCGTGAGGTGGCCCCGAAATGAGTCAAGCACCAACATACTCGGTCACTGAAAAAGTGCACCGGGTCGCCGGTTCCACATGAGCTGGATTCACTCAAGCATGAAGGACTCACTCATGAACACTTTTTTGTTTGCTCTCATGATAGCATCCCGAGGAAAGTATTCTTTTGGTAGCCCTTTTCTCTTGAAAATGATATAAAGGGGCAGCTTCTTTCTATCGGCTGTGCATGCAAGCATCACTGTAAATCACGAATGCTCGTTGCCCGATGTCAAGAGCTTCACTTGCTTGGATCCTTAGCAGTAACAGTCTGGTTCGAAGGCATATCGAACCAGATCGGAGTTTCTTCAGAGTTATCCATGTGTCCTATGATATAGCTGTTGACAAAGCCCTATGAAGAAGCGGTGATACTCGACCAGCTTATTGAAATTTCGGGCAGTTCTAGGCACAAGTCTCGGCACAAAGCCCTTTCGCTTCATAAATCTGCGCACCCATGATGGCAAGCCCTTGAATTGCACCCTCGTGATCCCAGAGTCTCGCGCAATCTCGATAGCTTTCACGCAGATGCACTCCGTTGTCACGGGTAGCGACCTTGCACACAGCTCCGGGACGAATTCGGCGAGTAGCGTTTCTAGTTCGGGTTACTCTGCAGTCCGTCCATGAAACTAAATTTATTTTGGTAGCTGCAGGATATGATGCGCTGCTTTTGGCTCCTCCAGTATTGGACTTTTTTCTCCAATGCACCCAATTCCCGTTGTGCCCCCAGGTTGTTGTGCGCTTCAGCTTACCCCATAACTTTTTTCATAAAGCCTATCGTAAACTGCCGTTGACTACCGCTCATTTCTGAAGGAAATAGAAAAAAACAATCACCAGACTGACAAAGATAACTGAAGCAAAATGGCGTTGCTAGTACAGTGTAGGCCTTGCCTAGCCTTGCCGAACGGCGCCACTGCTGATGCCCATGATGGCTTTTGACTTTAGCTGCCCATCGTTGCGAGACTTCCACATTTTTTTTCTGCCTGTGGCCTGTATACAAGATAAAGGTCAACTGGTAATCGCGTTAAAAAAAAATCTACTTATATTCTGGTTTTTACGGTAGTTCTCAAATTCTGATAAATGTAATGCGTCAGCTCAGCAGCGTAAGTGTAGCGCAGAAGTGGATGTGGTACATTTGAGGCAGGATTGCTGTGCCACTTGCTGGAGATACAGTCGAACCCCTGCTACAACGAACGCCGCTTCAACGTAATTTTCACTACAACGAAAAATTCACGGTTCCCCTTCAGCAGTCCATAGGAGTCAATGCATAAATATTATTGCCAGAACGAACACTTTTTTTCTGCCGTCCCGCCTCAACGAAATTTCACGACGCAATTCCAGGCTCAGATATTTATTGCTATACAGGAAACCATATCTTGAACATTTTGATGCATTTTCAGAACCTGAAAATACGATGATGGTCTAAAACTCGCGTTGGCTTCACCAAAAACCACCGCTGTTCAGCAAGCATGGGCGCCGCCATTGCTCGATAGCGATGGCAGTGAGACTGCCCTGCCAGGCAGGCCCAGCTTTCTGCCACTGGCTTGCTTTTGAGCAGCAGATGATCCGAAGCTGAAGCGCAGTCCCTCAGTTCATGGTTTCCACCATTGAGTTTCTTAATTTTAGGAAACCCTATGGTTTCCACGGAGGAAGGAAAGATAGGAGAGGGCATGCCCAGCCAGTGAGCTACGTGAAAAGTGGGGAGGAAGTCATCATGGCGGCCATATTCACTGGGCACAATGGTGGCGTTGCTATGGCTACGTGTTGCGCAATGTAGCTGGTTTAGCAGTGAGGGGCTGCGGCTGGCGGCCGCCGCCAGCTGCACCCCCTGCCCCTCACTGCTAGACCGCAGTGTGTGTGTGCCGCCGCAGGTCTCGTGCTGAGCCGTGGCTGACAATATTCGTGCTCTGCGCCGCGTTATTGGTTACGCAGTGGGCTCCTCGCAGCTGCTGCACTCTAGCAACGTTTACGAAACCTTTTATCCATCACGGGGCCTAAACAGTGCATAGAACGAGCACATATCCATGTGGTGTGCGGCGGATGATGCGGATGAAGCACTTAAAGTGTTCAGCAAAATTTCTCTAGGCACCATGACGAAGCGGAATGACGACGAACGGTTTGCAAGTTGGTGACTGTTGGGAAGTGCTCCTGCTTGTGACAACGGACGAAACTCGGCAAAATTTCTTTAGGCACCATGACGAAGCGGAATGACGACGAACGGTTTGCAAGTCGGTGACTGTTGGGAAGTGCTCCTGCTTGTGACAACGGACGAAACTGTTGTGCCCAGCAGCAAAAAGAAATGAGGACCATGTGCACATATGTAGTTTCGTGTTCGGTATGTGTACAATAACAATTTGCATGTGCGTATTAAAATACCTTTTCTGTTCGCTTGTTATACTCGCCCCCTGCATTGTAATCTCAACGTTAGGGTAACTGCGTTCAATCAAGTGTCACTTGCACCGTGCTCAAAGTCACCACGGTCGCAGAATGCTAATGCCGGTGATTTTCACATGGACTACGGGCATAGTGGCCGGGCGCTGCGTCGTCCGTGTGGCAGAATGCAACCGTAGAAGAAGGCGCACGACCGATCGTGTTGTCTGTACAGTTGCTGAATAATGACGTGAAAAGACCCACCGTTGTCAGTGCATCTAGTGCACATTCTCTTGTACTTGATTCGTTATCGGCGAGCTGTTACTCGCGGTTAATACTCGGGATGAAATGATTTCACTGAAGGTGTTGCGCTGGTCCAGAGTGTTTAGCTCCGTTCCATTAGTTTCGGATTGTCACGACACGGGCGCTGCGTAGCCCACGTGCTTTCCGAGCCGGGGAGAGAGTTGCACCTTCTGCTCTACATTCGAATGTAAACAAGAGAGGAGAATTTGCCCAATCAATATGGCTGAACTCCGGCTTCACCACTGCTTCACAACGAGTGACGTCAGGGCCTCTCCTAAGTAGTTTTTTTCCTCCATGATGGTTTCCTTCACGCAGCTGCTGGGTGCAACCGCGGAGCGATGCCTTTTCCGATTTTAATGCTTATTTTATTCGTGCTTGGCCAATGTGGTACGAAATCAGAGCGAAGGTTCATTCGTATTATCAACCAAATCAGCCAGCCGCGAGTGATGGATGATAAGAATGGTATAGAATAAGGCGAAAGTCACCTGCCTCCATCTCAGCGTTGTCGGATACACTTTGATACCGGACAGCCGCTGGTGTTAACGTGTTAATGCAACTGTTTGGGACATTTTCGAAAGCGGTTGTAGGCGTTGTTTCAGCGTGGTTTTCACTATGGCCTCGCTATGCATGACTGTGAATTGTCTCGTGACACTGCTGGGAAAGAATAAGAAGCAGCAGACATTTTTTTAATTTTAAGAATAAGCATTTTTTTGTTTTACTAGCTCAGATCAGCTATATTTTTTCGATTTCACTACAACAAAATTCTCGCTTCAACGAAATATTTTCTGTACCCTGTGAGTTTCGTTGTAGCGGGATTCGACTGTACCTGCATTAGGCGGAATGATGATAAGCGAAGAACAGGGCTTGAGATTTTTTGCTTCTGATCTTTGGAACCACAGTTGGCTGACCAAACAGTTTTGTAGTGTCTATGGTAATTATGACACATGTACGCACCATACATACATAAATTCATACATACATACATACATACATACATACATACATACATACATACATACATACATACATACATACATACATACATACATACATACATACAAAAAACTTTATTGGTGTCCTGAGGGACAAGACTAAAAGAGGCAAAGAGACCTCTCCATCAACTAACTTGACTGGGTAATTGTAACATTTTTTTTCCTCCCTAGTGCAGCTACTGGGCTAGGGTGAAAATGCCGTGCACAAAAGTAGTACTACAAATGTGGGCGATAAAAAAAAAACTTATTTGCAATCATGTATTGTTGAAAAGCCTTGTTTATTAACTTCTGTGTAGTGAAAATTGACCTGTAAAAATCTGTGTAGCTGTAATATAATGGTTAGGATGACTGACTTGATTCAAGGAGGTATTTTGCTAACTGGCAAAAAGGATGAGGTTTTGCAAATCCCATTGCTTTGTTCAAAAAGAAAAAGGTCATGTAAAAATGTTAAGTTGATTTCTGCCAAATGAATAAATGTATTCAGACTGCATTTTCAATGCGAGAGATTCGTGCAATATTTCAACAAATAATGGGTTTTCACATGCAAAGTTTTTTAGAGGAATTAAAGAACATGAGGTTTTTGAGATGATAGAAATAAATGAATTAATATGAGAGATAATTTATAGTGCGATTTTGAAGCCATCTCCTGTCGGCTCTTTAGTGTGATAATTCACTCGGTCACCATTATGTGAACCCTCCTGAAGGACCTTGACACCTTTCTAATAAGTGAGATGCTTGGAACATGCTGGATATATTTAGGTCAGCTCGCAAAAGAAACCAACTAGTTTGGAGGGGGAAATGTGCCTTTGGAATGTCAGTGCTGCTGTATTGTAAAAAAAAAAAAGTGAACACATGCATTTTAGAAAGCTGTAAAGCTTTCCACGCACCGACTTTCATGCCTGGTATTGTTGCACATTAGCTCCATCTTTGCATAATAGTTTGCATTGCCTTGGGGCTGCTTCAAGTTAATTACTGCATAGTCAAATACTTTTGAACTAGCTTCCTTGAAATTTTGTTTTCATACAACATTCATACTGGCCTGTATTTCATCATGCCTGAAAATGGCATTTCATTGTTCACTCTGTCGCACAGGCAATGGGTCAAGACATAGTTGTACCTGACCACCAGACAAGGTGCCCTGCGGCTATTGAGTTCGGCCAGTATGAAATACAGACTTGGTACTCGTCGCCCTACCCCCAGGAGTATGCCAGGTAGGGAAAACACCCATCACAAAAGTTATCATTTGTTAGTTTTGCTTTTTGTGTTTTACGTGATCATGCTTTTTACTTTATTTTAAAATTTTGTTTAGGCTTCCAAAGCTCTTCCTTTGCGAGTTTTGCCTCAAGTACATGAAGAGCCGAAGCGTATTGTCAAGGCACATGGTAAGCCTTATGGTCTCATGCAAGGCTTGTGTTTCTTTATACTTTTTCTTCCCCTTCTAAATTTAATAAGTACATCATTAATGGTTAGAGGGTCTGTAACCTTTTACAAGCTTCTTGAAGTTTACCTAGCATCAAAGGGCATTGTTCACTAAAAACTTTGTCAAAAGTAAGTAAACTCTCATAAGCAAGTAAATGCAATGCCAAACCACTCTGCTATAAGTGGTAATTCATTTAAAGTAGTTGTGCCAAGAATGGTGTGACAGTAGGAATGGAGCTGGTTGTAACACGGCAAGGAAAGTAAAGGATGCCGTAGCCCTCCTAGCTTATTGACAGCTACAGTTGAATCTCATTAATTCGAACACGCCTAATTTGAACTTCCGGTTAATTTGAACTCACGATAAGGTCAAGTCAAAGCTATGTGTATCCCAATGGGCGAAAAGGCCCGGTAATTGGAACGCGCGAGAACTTGCGACGGTATATTCGAACATACTGCGCTCCAAAAATGCTCTGAGCACCCCCCCCCCCCCCCCCCCCCCCCCCATCTGACACCTGCGACACCTCACCGCTGCACACGAATGAAAGGAAAAAGAAAGAAAAGGCTGTGGTGGAATATTTCCTCTCTCTCAAATGTCGATCTGTGACGCGCCTGTGTGACGCTTCTCCCTTTTTCGTCCCCGCCACGTAAAGACCCTTCTCCTTCCAACCTCGCCGGCGTAGAGAGGGAAAAAAAAAGAAAGCTGTCACGGGGTTGGTTGTGAGGTTGAAGGAGAGGTAAAAGGTACTATCTTCTGCAGCCCTTGCACCTTGCAGGACCACTGCTCTGCTTCTTTGGGGAAGGGGGGGGGGGGGTTTCTCATGCGCCGCTGCCACGCTTCCCTCTTTCCCATCCCTGCCACGTAACCCTTCTCCTTTCAACGACACGTGCGAAGAGAGCAAATAAATAAATAAATAAAGCTGCCGTGGAGTGTTGGTTTTCTTTCAAATGCCGATCTGCTTCTCTCCGCGTGGAGGCGCTCCTCCTTTCTCGTCACAGGCTGGCCATGCTGAGGCTCTGCTATGCAGTCGTTGTTATCGTCGTCTTTAGAGAGTGTCGGCGCTGGACATTACCGCGTGCAACTTCTCTTCCCAGGAGAATGCTGAAGCCGAAGTTAAAATGATTTGTAAGCTGTGTGCGAAATTGATTGACTCGCTGCTAGGCAAACATGTGCATACGTGCATCACCGATTACTTTAATTAATGACGGATGTACTGTGATTTGTGAATAAATGTAAATCTTCTAAAACTTCTCCCTCGCGTGTTAGCTCAATGCACATGCGCCACTGTATGGAGAGCCCTCCATTCATTTAGCTTTCATTAATTTGAACTTCTTTTAATTCGAACGAATTTTCGGGCCCCTTCGAGTTCGAATTATAGAGATAGACTATATATGTATCCACTGATAAAAGATTATTAATCAGCTGCAAGCCTTATGCTAGACACAAGGCTTTAAAGGACACTAAAGAGGAACAAAGACTTGCTATTATTGATTGACAAACTGCACTCTGAGAACTTTATTGCCATATGTTTCACTATCATAAATTCATTATTAGCGGAGAAAGTGAAGGTTGAAGTTGTGCCAAAATCTCCATACGTGACTTAAGAAATAGCAAAATCAATTTTTAGTATTTTCGTGAACTTGCTTGATGAAATTTTCTGAAACTTTGTATGCTAAGTCTGAAGCACCCACAGATTACAATGTACTTCATTTTCATCAATTGGAAGCTACATAGGACCCCATAGATTCTTTCAAAATTTTTTATGTCACGGTGTTTGGTGCAGGAATCTCAAGGTGGCGTCGCCACCATCGTTTCTTTTTGTGTTTTCTCTTCTATTAAGAAGGGACGCCGCATTTAGAATGACAAATTTAGTCAAAATGATCTATTTTTGGATTTATTTTTTTCGCAATCCTTGGACCTTATTTTATCTCGTGATGAAATATTATAACAAACAATGGGACAGTAATCCAGAAAACGGTACTTTATCATTGTGCTATTGTCGAAAACCGTGAAAAAAACTGTTTTCAGGGGGTGCAGCCTCCAAGGAAAGCGCTGCCATCTTTGTATCTTTGTGAAGAGGAGAGATCGGAGCTGAAGATACCTGAAGCGCCGTATTTCTCCAACGAAAACTAAAACCAGAATAAGCGAGCAAAAAATAGCAAAAGTGGCATCGTGATTGGTTGCAATAGTCACGTGGGGGCCCATGGCAAGGTCCTATTGGCTGTCTAAGATTTGAATCGCTTTCGCACGCATTTACACAGGGGGAGCCGCTCATGGCTGATGGGTGTTTTGTTCATTGCTGTGTTGATCGCCGCCTACGACATGCGTGTTCTGCGATGAGCCCCAAAGGATCGAAGTACTGAATTGTCCATGCGTATGGGAAATGGCAAACACAATGGAATAAAAAGGGAAAACTGGACAGAGTATCAAAAGGCCGCTGACCTCACCCACCAGGAAAAGCCGGCACAGGGGGCAGATGGGGACAGCTCGCCCGTTTGTGACTGTGACAGGGCATCCATATGCGCCGATTACGACCCGATCACGGGCCGAATTGACGGCGCTTGATGCATTGATGATGCAATAAATGCTTGCAACGGCCCGTGTGTAGTGTCAACGCCTCCGCATGTGGTATTTGAGAGTCTGTGTGCCGAGTTTACGGGTCCGCACGTAGTGTTGACGCGTCCACGAGCAGTGGTGACGATGCTTCTGCGAGCTACGGTGATGCGGCATCGGCAACCGTAGATGTTGGTGCTTTGACTAAGCAGCAGCGACTTTCGGCTGAAGAGATTGCGCGACGAGAAGGAACACGTGTGGATGCTTTGAATGCATTGTTCACGAGCAGTGCTGACGATGCTTCTGCGAGCTACAGCAATGCGGCAATGGCAACCGTAGGTGTTCGTGCGTTGAGCAATCGAGAGCGACTTTCGGCTGAAGAGATTGAGCCATGAGAAGAAACGCGAGTGGATGCTTTGAATGCATTGTCTGCTACCCTGGCCAAAAAAAGGAAATTTGACTTTCTTAATGATCGCAAAAGAGACGATGATATTGTTCTCCAGGCATCAGTGGTGATAAATAAGCTGCTGTTCGAATTTTTCTGCCTTGAGTGTGGCAGGGCCCAAGTTCGTTTTGAAACTACCGTATTTACTCGTGTAATCCTCGCACTCTCATAATTCTCTCATTCCCTACATCGCCCAACAAAAATACAATTTCTTTTTCTTGAGTAATTATCGCACCCTTGAAAACTGCCGCAATAATGTCGTCTGCTCGTTTTAGCCACTGATGCTGACAGCGCACGCCATCTGGCACCATCTCTTAAGCATCAAGCGTGCTATTATTGCATAGAGATTTACTCTAATCCAAGCCAAGTCAAAGTGGCAAGTGCGCATCGCGGCGTGTTGTGCATGTTGTGTTGGTAATCTTGTCACGGGGCGATACTGACGCTACACGGCTGCTTTTAAGTTGAAAGTGATAGATCATTATCTAAACAACGGCAACAGGGCTGTCGGTAGGCCTTTCGGAGTATACGAGTTTTGTGTTCGCTACTGGTTATGGCAACTGAAAGCCACCAAGATGCATTCATTGGGCCTGCCGTGTGCCTAAAACTGGGATTGATGGTAAGCTTTATTTCTTCAGAAGGAAACTGCGGACGATTTGTTAAAGTGTTATCAGCCCAATACTGACGCCCTACGCTTACCTTTTGACGGCTCCTGTTGAGCAGCGAACGATACTGCCACGCTCGCAACACCCGCAAGCTTTGCATATGGTATTCTAATTCTCGACTATTTGCTTGCACTTTTTGTGTTTCAAATAAATCTTGCCTTGTGTTGAACCTGTGCTTTTATTGCTGAGGTGAGTCTTAGTTAGTACTTCTCAAAGCTTGCTGTTAGTTGCTTGCGTGAGAATCCCGACTTGCGACCACTTCGATTTCTTTTTCGCACTGTACGTTTTCGTGGAAAGTTTTCCCCGCGTAATTCTCGCACCCCCCAACTTTGCATTGGTTTTCCGCCAAAAAAAAAAAAGTGCGAGGATTGTGTGAGTAAATGTGGTATATACTTTGCAACGGTGATAGCCGCACCTATACTGCGTTCAGTGAAAATAAGGTGTATGACTTCATACCCATACACTTCATACAAAAGCAAGAAAGTGTAAACAATCTAAAAAAAATAATGGGCATCACTTTACAAAACCCAGTTGAAAAAAACAAAAGCAAGGACTGAGAGCACAACATGAGTGGAAGAGGCCGTCTCTCTCATGGCTTAATTTAAAAAGCTAATTAACTATTATGGATGGGCCGTGAAAAGCAATCCCAATGTTGTGCCTGCCATGTAAAAGGCACTTCTCATCAAGTCACATCTACTGGAACCACACCATGAGTACTGCCCTACTGGTGTGAATTCATGGTGCAAGTTTAATGCTGCGGCAACCTGTGGGGAGCCAGAGCCTGCACACAAGCTGCAGCTTCCTGCCTATATGCAAGCACATTTCTGCAAGAGAACTTCTTTAAAGATGCCAGCAGGGCAGAACCTGGAATGCCATTGAGTGTTTCATCGGTGTGATTTGATCACTCCAGTTTGCCTCTCTTCTAAGCATTGAGAGTGCTGTCGCAAGTGCCGTTTGTCGTTCTAAGCACTACAAAAAATTACACCATGACTTAAGCACTCTCCAGGATCGTGCTCCTTGCAGTGGGCTGCTAAAAAGGATGCATGGCGCATCAAAAATCAACCAAAGTGCACAAAACTGCTCCAAAGAAGTGAAAAACTGAATTAAAATCAAAAGAAAATGCTAAGGACTACATCATAGGTTGGTTTTAGGTGCTTAAAGTTAAAAATTGACGTCTTTCATGAAATAAAACTTGGAGCTTCGTTTTCTCAGTTTCCATTTTTAGTGCAGTTGCTGCCAGTCATTCCAGTGTACTTTATAACTAATGAATCTATAATCATTTTGTTTTTAACTTAGATGCTGAAACATTGGTGAGTGCTGTAACGCTATTAATTTTTCTCTGCATATTATAAAAGTTTTACAATGGACTCCTTTTACAATTTGCAAGTGTGCTTCTCGGCACTGCATGTTTGCCCTGCTAATGGCGGCACCTGTCCTACTTCAAATAGAGACCAGGTCCTAGTTAAACACGCTGGTACTCGTCTATTATTCGCAGTAATGTCAAGATAGCTAAACCTGCATTTTCCAAGTCTTAGTGCAAGTAAACTGCGCTTGAACACTCTCTATGCAAAAAGGGACTAGCCACCATTAGTAGGGCAAACTGCATAGCAGGAAAGCTAGCTTTACAATTACTAAAAGGGTTTGTTGTATTTTTCCAAAAGATGTCAAGAAATTATGATTAGAAGAGTTACGAAATTTTTCAGTGCTAATTTAGACTTTGAAAAAATTAATAAATTAGTGGCATTAAGGTGCACAGTGGGCCGTGGCTAGGCCTAATAAGCGTTAGTTGCTTTTCAGTGGTGGTCGCGGGCTATCAGTTGCGATTTTGTACAGAATCAGTGTAACTCTTTGTGGTGGCTCTACTTGGAATGAAAGTAGGCATGGGTGGCACCTGTAATACTCATATGGTGGTTCGCGATTCGATTGCAATGTCATTGGATATGGAGTGCGTTCCCGTGAAATGAACAATCAATACTGTTCTGCGCAAAATTTTTTTTATAATGCGCATAGTCTAGACGGTCTGAATCGGCAAATTTCCGCAAGGATGTTTTATTTTCGTAGTTTTTTTCATGTTTATTTTGTTGGCAATGTGAGTGTTTGTTAATTTTTGGAAATTTGAGGGCTTGTAAGCACACTGCATTGCATGCGTGAGTTCTCAGACACAGACTGTATGCTCGACACGTTTCGCGCTAGTTTAGCCTATGAAAAACATTGCGTTTCGGCTGTAGTGTGAATACTCGGGACTTTGGCGACTTAAGTTATGCTATGCTGTAGTCGGGACTTTGAAGTGGTGAGCCTTTGTGAAGGTTTTACTACCGGAATTACTCACGTAGTCCTCGCAGTTTTTTTTGGCGGAACACCAATGCAAAGTTGATGGGTGCGAGAATTACGCTGGGAAAACTTTCCATGAAAAGGTATAGAGCGAAAAAGAAAACGAAGTGGTTGCAAGTCGGGATTCTCACGCAAGCAACTAACAACAAGGTTTGAGAAGTACTAATTAAGACTCACCTCTGCAATAAAAGCACAGGTTCAACGCAAGGCAAGATTTATTTGAGACACAGAAGGCGCAATCAAATAGTCGAGAATTAGAATACTGTACGCAAAGCTTGTGAGCGTTGTGGGCGTAGCAGTAGCGTTCGCCGTGCAACAGCAGTCAGCAAAAGGTAAGCGAAGGACATCAGTATTGGGATGATGGCTATTAAATAGAATCGTCTGCAGTTGCCTTCTGAAGAATAGAAGTTTACCATCAATCCCAGTTTTAGGCACACGGCAGGCACAACGCGTCTTGGTGCCTTTCGGCTGCCGTCACCAGTAGCGAACACAAAACTCGTAGACTTCGAGGGGCCTACCGAAAGCCCTGTTGCCATTGTTTAGTGCATGATCTATCGCTTTCAACTTGAAAGCAGCCGTGTAGCTACAGTATTGCCCCATAAGGTAACAAGATTGCAGATACAACATACAAATCATGCCGCGACACGCACTTGCCACTTTGGCTTGGCTTGAATTGAATCGCGGTGCAATAATAGTACGCTCTTTGCTTAGAAGATGGCGCCAGACGGCGCACGCTATCATCATCAGTGGCTGGAACGAGCAGACGACATTATTGCGGCAATTTTCAGGGGTGCGATACTTACTCGAGAAGAAAAAAAAATTATTTTTGTCGGGCAATGTGGGGGTGCGAGAATTATGCAAGTGCGAGGATTGTGCGAGTAAATGTGGAAAATGTGTTTTGCTGGGACCACTAAAGATGTATCGGCACCATGACAATATTGGGATGCCCAAGCAAGCATTGTTTCACGTTTCGCCTTGTGTATACTAACGTGATGGCTTTAAAGAGTTCGTGTTTCTTGTTGTGATCTGCCACAATCATTTGTTTAGAAATTCTAATAAGTAGGAGCTTCAGGAAGGTTAGAAATTTATTTAGTATCTGTGCATCTTCCGTATGCAGCAAAAGTGCACCTGGTTTCACCCACCTGCCACAGAGATCTACCGCAAGGGTGAGGTATCTGTATTCGAGGTCGATGGAAACGTGAGCAAGATCTACTGCCAGAACCTTTGCTTATTAGCGAAGCTTTTCTTGGACCACAAGACCCTTTATTATGATGTGGAGCCCTTTCTATTCTATGTGCTCACCAAGAATGATGCGAAAGGCTGCCACCTGGTAGGATACTTCTCCAAGGTATGTGCCTGATTTTTTTTTTTTCTAGCTGGATATATGGGATCCATATGATTTAATAGCACGAATATATTTTTCTGTGACATGTAAGATGCATTTCGTAACATGCATGATGCATGTCTTGAAATGCAGTACATATACAATATTTACTTGCATAATTCTCACACTTCTTTGTTCGTGGAAAACCAAAGATAAGGTGAGGGGTTCGAAAATAGGGTGGGGAATATTTTTTGCGAACACATACAAAGCAAAAAAGAAAACGAAGCAGCTTCAAATCTGGATTCTCATGCCGACCACTAACTACAAGCTTTCAGAAGTACTACTAAACTTACTCGCATAATTTGCACACCCCTAATATTTTGCCAGCTTTGATAAAAAAAAAAAAAGAAAAAAATCTTTACTCGCATATTTTGCACTCCCAAACCCGCCTGAGCCAGCTCGCCAGTGCGTGCACGGAGAGACTTTGGACCTTTCTATGCTTCGGACAAGCGCGCGCCTCGCCTAGTAGACACGCGCAGCGAAACGGGCTGCCAGTGAGTTTCTTCTTTCAAGGACTTCCCTGAAACTAGGTTCCCCAGAATGCCGTACCTGATCACTAAAACCTGTTGATTAGTCGCCAGAACGACTCGAGTGTTTGCCTCCCCCCGTCTCCCCATCTTGCCAGTAGTTACCTACGGAGCAGAAACTTGGAGGCTTACAATGAGGGTTCAGCTTGAAGATGACGCATTGAGCGATGGAAAGGAAAATAATAGGTGTAACCTGAAGAGACAAGAGGAGAGCAGAGAGGGTCAGGGAACAAACTGTGGTTAAGGATATCATAGTTGAAATGAAATCAAGAAGAATATATACAAAGTTCGTAGGTATAACTTGGCAACGGAAAGCACAAGACTGGGTTGATTTGCGGATCATGCGATATGCCTTTGCTCTGCAGTGGGCGTAGCCAGGCTGATGATGATGATGTTCTCGTCTCTACTGCCGCGAGAAGGTATGCTCGTGTTGCGGCACGGACAATTTTCTGCATTGCAGGCGTGCGAGGGCCTGTCGTGTTGGTCGCGCCAACTGTTCCCCTTGTTCTCTGCGACCACGCTGCAACGCATGCTGGGTCGATTTCGCAAGTTTAGCTTTAGGCATATCTGGCCAATGCGTGTTTACGGTTCCCTTGTGATAAGCTACATTAATTATATATATATGGCGAAATTGAAGCTTGCTGTTGTAAATTTTGCCAAAAAAAAAAAAAAAATTGAAAACCGTGCCGCTGCCAAGCACTTCAAGAAGAAGCACTTCAACGTGTGACGATCTGGGTGATAGGTATGCGAAAAGGCAGAATAGTGTTCCTTTGCTAATGCAAGTTTCCTGCCATTGAAGAAGGCCTTTTCAATTAGGTGCGGATGCTCTGATCTTCCGGTATCGCCGTGTCTCTGGGATCTAGTTTCTTCCAGCATTGTTGAGAAGAGCTTCAAGAAAATGGGGCATTTGAACACCCTCAATGGAACCGAGGACGATGCGCTTTTGAAGGGCGGCGGCAGCCACCCTGACAATGATTCCCGATTGGACGTCGTGATCAGTCATTCCTAATAGATCGTGTGTGACCGAATTGGACGTGCCAATTCTTTTAAATCATTTGGGCACACGTTAAAGAACCCCAGATGGTCGAAATTTCCGGAGCCCTCCACTACGGCGTCTTTCATAATCATATGGTGGTTTTGGGACGTTAAACTCCACAAATCAAATCAATTCATTTAAATCAACAAGCACACATCGTTTGTGCTCTAATTTATTTTCTTTTTTAATGTATATACTGCATGCGTTAGGACTGTGACACAATGTTTCGTATGCGCTCACGAAACCCCCGCGTAACTTGTGCACCCCTTCTCGGGGCCCTAAAATCGCGAAAAAAAGTGCGCAAAATATGCGAGTAAATACAGTAATTAAGACTTACCTTAACAATAAAATCAAAGGTTCAGCACTGGGCACGATTTATTTGTAGATACAAAAGCCACTAGTAAATAGTGTCTCAAGGGCTTGGTTGCCGAGACTCTTGACTTAAACAAGAGGTTTTGCCTCAACTGGTGGCATGGAAGGCTCAACACGTCTTGTTGGTGGCTTTCAGCTGCTCGTGCTGCTCTCGCCAGTAGCGAACGCCGAACACAAAACTCATCGGCTCTTAAGTGCCTGGCAGCGGCCCTGTTGCCATTGTTTAGTGCATGATCAATCACTTCGAACTTGAAAGCAGCCATGTAGCTTCCATATCGACCTACAGTGTACCAACAGAACGGGCGCACAAATGCTGAGAGGACTAGCACACGCTGCAACGTATACTTGCCACTTTGGCTTGGCTTGGATTAGATTGGGGCTCTGTGCATGGATAATATAACCCTTTCAGATGCCACCTACAAAGAACTATCTGTAAATGCATATGATCTATACGTTACTTCAGGGCACTAAATATTCTACTGCAACAAAAACAATTCCATAATGTGTTAATTTATGTGTGTTACACCTGTTAATTGTAGTTAGGTTGCCACTGAATATCTGTTTATCCTGAAGTCATCAATGCTTTGTTTTGCAATAAATAGACTGAAACTTTAGGCTAGAAATATTGTGCAGGGGTTGAAGTGCTGCGCCGATTTGACCTGCTGTGCCAAGATGCGGGTGAACGGTAATTTTCCCGTACAATGCCATATTTAGTGGAGTTTTGTCATCAACCGAGCAACGCACGTAGGCTATACATAAAGGACGCAACCCCATCCATATCAGATTAATTAGCTCACGGCTTGAACAGAATGCATGAATCTTAGTAAGCCACGTTTGTGTGCATACCTCATTATGTCACTACATATGTTTTGACTAACAGCAAAGCGATTAGTTAAGCTTTTAGTCAAACTAAAAAGACTGCAGTGGTGTTGCAAAAAACTCGCCGTTGCCCAGCAATCGCCGAGCACAGTACATGCTCTGCGATGGAGACTGTCGAACCATATTGTAACGAATGTAGCAGTTTCACAACAAGGATGTTCTATTTACACGGTTTATTAAGGGCGAACTTGTGCCCAAAGTGAACGACGCACAGCAATCAAGAATATCCAAGGACGGTAGTCCTCGTGAGCCTCTGCCTCGAGCACCCTCGTTCTCTTCTTCGTCACGCGCGTTGGCTGTTCGGCGGAGTACCGTGCGCATGCAGGGCTGGCTCGTGCATTGCGGCTGGCTTCGTCGCTCGTAGTCGTGCCGTTAGCGTTTCTCTGGTTCCCAACGTCCGCGTTGCGCAGAGCAATGGTAATTTCCTGTGGCAGTATAAACTGAAAAAAAAAAAAAGTCACTTTCACTGGCGAGGCAATGATTGCGATAGCAACAATTTGAAATGTTCCATTGGTAATGCCGCATGTGTTTCTTTCTGTTTTTTCATTGCCGTACCATTACATTTGTAACACTGCTTTGCGCAAACTGCATCCGAATGACTGGGAACCGACTGGACTGGGAACCATAATCATAGAACCTTCCAATGAGATTACGCGCGCAACTCGTACATTAGAGTTTGCTGTGTAATTACGCGGCCTCTAGCGATAATCCTGCAATCTTCGATGGCACTTGTATAAATGCCGATGCACTTTGCTGCGTGGCAGATTATCGATGGCTGACGCTCAATGTTCGCTGCTATTAGTCTACAGTGTGTATTGCTTGTAGAGTGACAATTCATTTTCGGGCACAAATAAGAAGTTCACTCATGAAAACAGCTGCTGCTGCTGCCTTCGTCGACATCACGACCCCATGACAGCACAAAGGCTGATATCCAACTCTTTCGGATCCGACATCGCGACACTCACCACTACAAAACGCTGGTGTAAGAAAATAAGTACAGCTACTCCAGGGAGAAATGCTCTTATCGCATAATTTCTTCCCGTTGAGAGCGTACCATGTAAAATGGCTTACGAGCTGTGTGCTGATGCTTGCAGATGTGCCAGCTATCACAGTCACGCCCTCAAAATAAAAGTTCACAGCTGCTCGAGTGACCTCCTTTTCCCCACGTCTTTTCATGGTCGTTCAAGACTGGCGGCGTGTTTTTTCTCTGCTTGAGCATTGAAGGTTGGTCTAACACGCAGGGTATGCTACCGTGTGCGCCCTCCAACTGACGAAATCAGCCGCCTCGTCTCTGCTTGAGCAGTGCTCATCACCCCAGCTTGCACGACAATTTTACGTGTGGGTAGAACGTACGGTGCACGGGCAATGTTACCAACTTGTAGTTTAGGTGGAACTTGGCAGTGACAATGAAAATCTGTATAGTGTCTTTTTAATTGCTATCGTAATAAAAATTTTCACTTCCTTGAGCGCATCTAAATTTTCTCGTAGTTCTCACGTCGGCTGTGGCACTTCAATGACCGGAACATGTCTTTTATACATTTGTTTTTATAGAGCCCTCTTAGCTTAGTATGAAAATAACTTTTAATATGTAGTAGCTCATCTCTTGTCTTGAGTTGCTGTTCATGTTGGATACTGTGTTTTAATCACATTTTGAACATTGAATTTTTTTCACTTGTCTGAGGTCTAGTAGATGTCCAGAACGCCGTTTTTTTTTTCCTTTGAGTCGTTTGGCTTTCATTAAAAACCATTGAATATATTTGTGTTTACCAGAAAGCTAATATTCTAATTAACAGCGATGTGTGACCTGATAAACCTGCTCCAAAACTAAATTTCGATGCTCCAAAATACACCTTTTGGTGCTCCAGAGCAGTCCCAAAACTCCCCTCTTTATTGCTCCAAAGCGTATTATTCCTGCTCCCAAAGCTGCTCCAAAAGACAAGCCCGCTTCCATCCCTGACAGTGCAAATTCATTTTTGGTCATGTTCATTTTGCGCAATGAAAAATTGCACGTTTCACATGGCTCGCTGGAAGGAACTTGTCGAATGTGGTAGAGCCTCCAGCAAAGTGATCATACGCAACAGTACACTGCAAATGAAGTTAAATGATATATATTTATAATAAAATGGTTCAATTCATCCAAAACTCAATATATAGTAGATTTTCAGCAAACGGAACCGGAAAGAACTGATAAAGTATGTTCCATTTAACAGGAGTTCTGTTTACTGAGAGGTGAACATGGGTGCAGAATACAAGCCCGAAACCAAGCATTGTAAAGGCAATAGTTTCGTCTAGCAGATTTCCGTTTAGTGAGAGTCTACTGTATCTTGCTTGTTCTTTCGTAGCCTCTAGTTGATGCAAATTGCAAGAACAAGTTGGGTACACAATTGTGTACACAGCGTCTTGAAAGGTTATAGGGGCCCTGAAACACTTGAGTAACCATGGAATTAATTCAATGGAAGAGCTTCTTGACTCGCAACTTTAACGGCTCAAAAATTTTAAGAATTCGTTCAGTACGAGCGGAGTTGCAAAAATTTGTCACCCACTGCAATCGTATTCTCTCTTCTCTCGCCCTGACGAAAGCGCTGGAGGCTAAGCAGGGAGGGATGGGAGGGGCAAATAAAAAATCGTCATGCGTGCCTCATGACCTTGAGCACTTTTTTCGTTATTTTTTTTCTTCGAATACGCAGCTTTTCTAGTGCGCGCGCACGTGTGGACAAGGGATGGCTTCCCGCGGCGATCTCTGTAATGACTGAGCGCGCCAGGTTCAAATCAGCCATAGGCTGGTAGATGCGCATTCTACGAGGGATTTTTGTGCGTCTTCCATCATTTGTCGAGGGAAGAGAAAGCAATTTTCAGCTGACTCTAGCCCCGCCGCGGTGGTCTAGTGGCTAAGGTACTCGGCTGCTGACCCGCAGGTCGCGGGTTTGAATCCCGGCTGCGGCGGCTGCATTTCCGATGGAGGCGGAAATGAAGGAGGCACGTTAAAGTACCCCAGGTGGTCTAAATTTCTCGGAGCCCTCCACTGCGGCGTCTCTCATAATCATATGGTGGTTTTGGGACGTTAAACCCCACATATTAATCAATCAATCAGCTGACTCTAAGGGAAAGAAAGTAGAGGTCCTTTTCAAGACCATGAGCTTTGCCGTGCTGCATGGGCAGTTTGCAATTTTGCCGGTGTGAACTACCACCGCCTTTACCATAATGTTGAATTTGTGGCCGGAAACCATTCGTATAACACAGAATTACTGTCTGTTTTATATTACGTAATCCGTCCGAAACAACTTTAAACTTTGTATCTTCGTGAAATTGGGGTCAACTGCAATCGTATCATCGATATTTCATTGTATTTGATTTGCTGTGCGTGCCTGCTGTACGCACTAGCACTGACCAGTCTCTTTTTTTTTTCCAGGAAAAACACTGTCAGCAGAGGTACAATGTCTCTTGCATCATGACCATGCCACAGTACCAGAGGCAGGGGTTTGGACGCTTTCTCATTGACTTTAGTAAGACCTTTTGCTTCGTTAGTCATCTTCAATGCATGTATTATGAGGCTAGCTGAGACATTTTAATTTTTCAGGCTACCTGCTGTCTCGGAAGGAGGGGCTGACTGGGACACCCGAGAAACCCCTCTCTGACCTGGGCCGCATCAGCTACATGTCCTACTGGAAAAGCATCCTGCTCGAGTTCCTCGCTAACTACAAGGACAGCCACATCTCCATTCAATGCAAGTGTCCTGCTTTGTTTTCATTTTTCTTTATAAGCTTGGATAATTAGTTTTAACTTTTTTATGCTTTTCACTTCTTCAGGTCTGTCCTCATCAACAGGTCTTAATATTCATGACATTGCAACCACACTGGAGCATCTTAACATGTTCAAGAAGATTGGTAGTGAGAAAAGTTGGTGAGTATGTTAGCAGCTGGAACTGTATTTTGGCAACCATTTCTTTCGATAGTGTTTGACGATTAATTGTTTGCAAATATACATGTTTTACAGCATAGTCATCAGCATCGAGAGGAAAATGCTCAGTGAGCATATGGCCAAGGTTCAATCTGGAAAGGATCGGAGAATAATTTTGGACCCTGAGTGTCTTCGTTGGACACCCCTGGTCACTCAGCCACAGTTCAGGGATGAAGAGCCTGAGGTTCGATTGAGCTACATTTGCTTGTTTTTTTTTGTTTTTTCTTCCTGATATTTTTGTACAGTAGAACCCTTTTGTAAGAGACTTGCGCAGGACAGTGACTCCTGTCTTCTATGTTCAATGTCTTTTATAAGCACAGTACAGTTTGCATTTTCTTATCAACCTGTATTTCAATGTAAGCACACTGGTGCCTCTTATACCCATATGTCTCTTACATCAGTGCCTCTCACGAATGTGTCAACTGTAACATTTGTCTGTCAACAGAATATGATATTTACGTGCGTAATGAACATACTCAAATAATAAACGCACCCTAGTCATCAAAATTTAGCTTTTTTTTTATCCCACCTAGTAAACGTACCTCCTACTTTCATCCGTTGCAATCCCATGAACAGACTCAAGACACCTCCTTGCTCATTGATCTTTTTATTATGCCAACCCCCCTTGTTTCACTCCACCTCTGCCTCCAGTCGCACGCGGTTCTTTCTTCTATATTGGTACGGTGGGTCCCCTCACTTTTTGAAATATTCGTGTAACACAGCAGGATTCACAAACGGTGTGAGTGTACACAGCGACTCACAAGCACACAGTGAGTGAAGGCCACGAAACTGCTTGCGCCCACCAACACTTGCTTTCCAACCACATGCATGCTATTTTCAAGCTACGGCGACGAGTGACAGGATTTGCTGTCACAAAGCAATCTGCTCAATCCGTCTGTTGCCATCACTTGTCGCGTCGCACATTTATGGAAAACCAGAAAAAATCGCTTGTTGCCCAGAAAAGTGTGTGACAATTTCTGGCAACATGGCAAAACAAGCAAAATCGCTTGTTGACCAGAAAAGTGTACGACGATTTCTGGCAACATGGCGGAATCAGTAATGCAACAGCTGCGTCGATTGCACCAATTTGATACAATTCCTCATTGTTGCGCCGAGCTGCGCCAAAACCATGAAAATTGCTGAAATTGCACCACGCTGCGCTAAAAAGCCCGACCAGCCTCGAAATTTTCTCAGTTGTTCTAATTTCAGCGAGAAATAGAAGTCACGTCTGCCACCTGCAGTTTACGTCATCAATTAATCCAAGCGTGCAGACGCTAACCCGAAGTCACTGTGTAAGATATATTTCAATTAGGTCAGGGCATTCGTGAGACGCGATTGACCAGATAAAGTAACCATGCCGCGCGCCCATCAGTCCACTGTCCGCAGCGGATACCTATCAGCGGGAGGATGCAACTTCAAGATAAAAATGCATTGCTGTAGCTGCCAACGCTTCGCGGAAAATATGAACTTCCTAGTTGGCAAACACAGCTGTGGCATGTTAGCGACTAGAGCTGGAAGCGCATGCCACGTTTTCCGCTCACGGACAGAGTTGACGTGCTGCAAACGCGCCCACATTGGTCGCCACAGCAACGAAACATAAAACATTTTTCTGTCTAAGTTGCGATAGCTGCGTCGTCCTGGTGATAGATATCCAGCGATTGAACGCGCCCTGGAAGCGGGCTGATAATTCGTGCCCCAAACCTAACCCTATTGTCAGAAGGGAGGGGGGGGGGTGGGGGTGTAGGGGTGTTCAAAACTTTCTTGGCCTTGTTCTAACCCGTGCAGAACGCTGCATAAGCCTTCTTCGCAGCAGTACACCAGTGCCGTGCAGGGAAGCGTATTATGATTTGGAAGGGGCTGTTAGCACAAGTCACGGGCCACTGCACATATTCAATTAGGCATGCGTGTATATGCCACATGCTGGTTTTTTGCCACCGCCGCTGCCGTCATTCCTGTATACTAGGAAGGATGCGCAAGCCTCCTCTCTCTGCGGAGCGAACATCGCCTTTCTGGCAGGGGTCGTCTACATGCGCACTTATCTCGCGAGGGAACAGACGGGAGAGGGGGAGGGAGGGGGCTTATAGTTGTCGCGCTATCGCGGCAACGATCAGCGCGCGGCTCTTGCCTCTACAGCAGGCGGGAGCTTCTATGGGCTGCACTCTCAACACGAAAAAATGGTGCCGAAGATGTACCTGGAGCGGCCATCCATATATAGATGCGCTCTGCACATAAACTGCCACCAGTGGCGTTGCCCACGGGAGGCGCTTCTTATGAACTGTCACTACGCACGAGCCTTGCTGTGGTAATCTACTGTAGATGCACCACAGGAAACTTGGTTGCTTAGCAAGCGCATGTTTACTACAAATAATCTTGCTCCTAAAAAATCTCCCCTTGCTTTGTAAAACATTCGAATATGTTGCTATCGCATTCATTGCTTCGCCCTTTTGGCGAAACTGTGACTTTTTGTGAGTACTAGTAGGATTGCTGATGACCGAAAAAAAAAAAATACTTATGGAGCACTTTAGGACTACCTGTCCTCTTGTGCTCCATTTTTTTTTTCGCCACCCCTACACCTCAGTTTCACAAATCCCTTGAATTTCAAGGTCGCCAGCTTGGGAGATCTTCATTTGACTTTGCAGAGTCTGTCATAGGATTTGACAGATGCGGCAAATTGTAATGTTGACTCGTAACTGTTTGCTCAGTAGGGTGATTCAAAATACTATTTTTGTTTAAATAACAGTACCCATGTTTATGCTCCAGGATTTGGGTGATGTTGAATCGTTTTTACATTTTTTTTTCTAAATGCAAGCCTTCTTATACTTTGCCAAATTTGTTTTTTGTGATAAAAAAATGGATGTTATTTTTCCTCGTAACCTGCTCCAACTTTGCATTTTAGTGCTCCGAAAGTAGCATTTTGCTGTTCCAAAATTTTTCTAAATTCTATTTTGGCTATTGCACCCCTCAGGATTCGTGCTTCTGTTGCTATTCATGCTTGTTATTCGCACATACCTCAAGAATGCAAGATATGGGCTACTTTTACATTCTGACCTCATAGTGGAGAGTGAGGCTGTGCTCATATTTTGTCGTTAAACTTGTTATAGACTATTTTGATGTTTCGGTGGTAGTTTTCTGCAATGTCATCGTGGGAGATTGCCAAGGAGTTTTCAAGGTGTGCCGTAACGTACGCTGCGTGCGCTTTTCGGAGCCTCTCAACATCACAACAAACGCCACTGTCACTGTTAAACAAAAGGTCGCTAAAAATAAAGCTGGGAAACGCTGTTAAGAAATGCATGGGAACAGCTTGCAGAAAGTAGCATGATCAACCACCAAAGATTAGTGAAGTGCAATAAAGAAGCTGTCTTCAAACAGTGTAAACAAATGTTTTCGTAAAATTTACTCTGCATTACAGACGCATCCCCCAACTTTGCTTCGATTTTTTCGGAAAAGAAGGTGCATTCATTATGCGAGATATATGGGGAGTAGCAAGTTGCTTTTATTGTTAAATTGTTTGCAGCTTAATGGGGTCCTTTGTCAAAACTACTTCTTGCGCGAATTGGTTCGTTGTGTAGCCTAAGAGTAACAGCCTGCACACACACCCACAAAAAAGACGGTATGGGCACTTTGTGTTCACTTGGCCAAATAATCATTCTGTGGCTTTTTCAAAGGAGTTGATTGCCTCATGAATGAACTGCTGCAAGAATTGATATCAAGTACGAGTGCAGTTCAAGGGATTTGTCACACGGTTTAAGCTCTTTCTCTCGCTTTTCGTACCAGTAAGCATGAGGGGGAAAAGGGGTGACTAGGAACGTTCATTCGTCAGCACACGTCATGACATTGCGTGCTTTTTCTCATTCTTCAAAATCGCGGCTTACTTTCAGTGTTATCACAACAAGCATGCACGTGGGTACTTGTTGGCAAAAGTTTATTTTACAAAAGCTTTTCTGAAGATTTAAATGAGAAGTATGTCAACTTTCAGTGCTTTATAATCCACCTGTAGCAAGAGCTTGAATATATGCTGGGCCAGATACTGAATGCCAAGAAGACGTCAGAATGTCTAACACTCTTCTGAATAGAGTTTAGAAGCAGCAGGTTCACAGGCTCTTTAGGCATCCAAGCACGTTGATTATGCATACATTTTCCGTTTGCCTGACCGAAACTGTGAATGTCTCTACAGTAGAACTGACATGATAGTTATTCTATGGTTCATGACAATCATGTTGCAACCACTTAACACTGTTCTTGAAAGGGCAGGAAGCTACATCAGTACGTCAGGAACTTGATTGCACATCATGAAATGTGATCACTCTCTCCTAGTGTGATCCTGGTGCATGCTTTTGTTGCTACTAAGCTTATCACACTATAGATTGAGGTATAGAAGCGTGGTGCACTTTTATACAAGAAGTGCATCTGATCCGAATGCTGCACTTGTTTCATGTCAACTACCAGCCAATAGCAATCTGCTCTAAGAGCTGGTGCCCACCCTCCAAGGAGAAAGATAAAATAAACCTCTGCCCAAAGTGAAGGCACTTATGGAAATGGCAACTTGTTGTAAAAGTGGCCACCCACTTGTGAAGCCTTCTTGATGCGTACTACTTCAAAATTTGCTGCATCTGCTTTTTCCTGTATGTGCTTTTCCAACAAGCACTGGAGGTGGTTCAGGACCCCATTAAAAAAATTGTTCAAGGATTGCATGAGGGAATGTTACATTGAATCGAGGACCAGAAACTAACCAAAAGACACTGCCTCGCTGTACTGACCACCTCACATGACAGTCTTCACGTGGGTGTAGCGTGCTTCATGCTCACTGGCAATTTAGTGGTTTTCCATGCACTTGAAAGGTGCTGCCTTAGCAATGCCCTGGACTGCACAGAGAACAACATGCTTTGGGAGACTGCAAGCCAAGAATGGTTGTCTGTTGAATTAGAACTCTGATTGTTTTGACAAGTGATTGAAGTAAATGCGTGAGGGATGTGCCGATACAAGATTATATGGGACATTTTATAGCTATTCCTTAAGGAACATACCTATATTCTAGTTTGACAGATGTTCCCACTGATAAATACTGATATTGCAGTTCTGCAGTTTTCACATTTCTTGGCTTATAAATATTTTGTCACACTTGCATAATTTAATTTTTGGGCTTCCCTTTAGGAGGAAGAGGAGCAACAGGAACAGCAGCAACAACAACCGCAGCAGCAGCAGCAACAGCGCCAGCAACGTCACCACCCAAGAGATACACCTGTAGTTGAGGAGGTGGAGAAGAAACGACCAAAGTTGATGGCGCCTGCTGTTGCTGCGGCTGAAGAGCAGTGCACACCAAAACAGCCTGCACCCATGAAGAAGCCAATCCACCGCCGTAGGCGTAGGATACCCTGGCTAAAAAGAAAGCCAGTCGGAAGGTAAGTTCCCTGGCCTCATTTGCCATCAAGCTTACACTGGCTCCACATCTGCAAGGCCTTCACCGACTCTTGTTTGTTTCTTTTGTATTTGTTTCTTTTGCATTCATAACTGTTAACATGTTGCTGGTAGGAGGGTCTAATTTAAGGCTCATATATTTTTTTTTGAAGTTTCTAACATTGATGCACTGGCAAGAAGAAAGTGCAGCAAAGGTTTGGCGATTCCAATTTCATGATGATACCCACCAAGTTCAAATTAAGGGAAGACACTGCTCTTAAAAAAGGTCTTTATTTCTTAACTGATTTCGATGAAACTTGGTATCTGTGTGCTGTTTTCATATATGCAAATATTTTTCTTGTACGAAGTGTACATTTTAAAATACTAAATAGTTTATGTGCCTTTTGAGGAGGAAATTTTCTCCATACTAAGAAATTTACATAGTAAGTTAGCATATTACAATACTCTGGAAGCAGAGCCAATTTCAGTACAACAAAAAAAGATGTTCTAAATCTGTTTGAATAAAAGTTATGGTTCATTTAGCATTTGTGAGTGAGTCGATTACATGCTGGGATTTCACTGGCAAATGTTCAGCTTACCACAACTTGTCTTCTAATGGGTTTAAAACATTCATTTTTGGTGCACTGTAAATCAGCTATAATTCCAGAATATTGTGATATGCTAATGTACTTTATAACTTTCTTAGCATAAAAACTTGCTCCTTGAAAGGCACCTGGAATATTTTGTATTTTCTACATATAATTGCATATATGAAATCCACACACAAATATACATAAACTTACCAAGTTTCTTCAAAATTAATGGAGAAGAAGGAATAACCAAGTGCCATGCCCCCCCCCCCCCCTAAATGAAATATTATTGAAAATTATCAACATAATGCTCTACAATTGAGTCCCTTAATGACAAGTACACATGTACGAAATGAACCGTTCTGCTTGCATGCACTGTTATTTTTTTTTTGTCAGATTTTGGCACACTCTCCCACCCAATTCAGCATATGAGGCAAGCTTGAAAAGCTTATTTCATACTAATGAGTTCCTATATGTGCTATTATAGTGGTTCTTTTTTTGTTCCTAACTTTGGAGGTTCCTTCAAAATTTGTGCAGTCTAAAATTGACAATCATTCAGTCATATATATATATATATATATATATATATATATATATATATATATATATATATATATATATATATATATATATATATATATATATATACATATATATATATATATATATATATATATACATATACATATATACATATACATATATATATATATATATATATATATATATATATATATATATACATACATACATACATACATACAGTCACCGTACAATTTCCCGAACACTCAAGGGATTGCAAAAACGTCTGGAAAATCGGGCAGTCCAGAAAAATGAACGCAAGCGAAAACATCCTTTTTAACAGGTATTTTTTTGCTGACGGACAGGGTCACGGCAGGATTACAGGATTCTCATTGCAATTCAGCTAATTCATCGTTTAGGTGCTTTGAAAAGAGCGGTTTATATCAAAAAAAAAAGAGAAAAAAAATTATAAAAAATTCGATATTGTGGGTGCTCTGCGTTTGTAAGCACTTAGGCACACACAAAAAAAAGTCGCCTATTTTTGTTTGCACGGCTTTCTACTTGCTCGCTATGATGTCAGCCTTAATTTCAGCTAACATCATGGTGTCTATGTACATCGATGACAGCGCGAGTGTTGCGTCAACTCTGAGCTCGTTAGTTGTGTAGGCGCTGCATCTTTGATCTCTGTATCGGAGTCGTCGGAATCCTCCATAACTTGAGGAATGATTCATTGGTCAATTTCGCACACAGCTCGAGGTCTTCGTCAGTGTCAGCAAAGCCCTCAAAGGTTGTCCCGGTTGGAATCAAAGCACCTGCAGCGTTCAGATCGCCGAAGGCAACGTTCACGGGCGGTAGTTCATCGCACATGCTGTCCACTCCGGGCGAGACAGCAGTCTTGGTGTCCAGTATGAAGCTTGAGTGGCGAGAACAGTTCCAGAGGGTTTGTTGCGTAACTGCCTTCTACAAGTCTGTAGGCGCTGACAGCAGACCATAGGTCAACAGCGTAGCTTTTCATATTATCGGAGTACAGGCTGCACAGCGCCATGCTGCCGTGGCCACAAGGTTGACTAAGCTACGTCTGCTAATGGATTGGCATGGGCTGGATTGTGGGATTTGCGGTTTCAAGCGTACGGCAGCCGTGAGGCGGTAGGTTCGAAGGTACGAAAACAACTAAAATGGCAGTTGCGATAGTGATTTCGAGTGTGCGGTTAGCAGTAAAAAGTCCGGAAAATCGGATGGCGATAGATATAAACGCGCATAATTTTGGACTCTATGGGGAACATTAACGGTGCCACAGATGAGCCCGGAAAATAAAAGCATGTCCGCAATTTCAGGTGTCTGAGAAAGCGGATGGCAACTGTAACTATTCTTACATTTTGTACAGCTGATTGCAGTTCAGCTTCCTCCCCGGACAAAAATTACACTGTTGCAGGCATGACCAGTGCACATATCTGCTGTTCAAGACGTCGTTGGCGAGTGGATGTACAGTGGACATTTAGTAAATTTTTTTTTGTGATATTATCAGATAGGGAGTTGGATTTTGTAGGCTCTGTAAGGCAGTATCAAATTCGCAAAAAAAAAAAAAAAGGATTGTTTTTCAGTAAGTAGTGGAACACATGCCCCACCAGTTTCTTGAAAACCCACAACAATAGAGAGCTAAAATTTTGCACATGTTATAAAAAGCTGATGCAAACGGCAATGCGGCCCTCAGTAGTTGGCATGCATTGTTCGTAACATTATGCCTCATAAAAGGTTCAATTTATTTCTGCTTTTTTTGTGGGCAGTCGATTTTTTTGGGCAGTTAGGCATAAAGTGATGAAGTATGCATTTCAAAACACTTTTAACATTTTTGCTTGAGTACATTAATTAACTATGGGGTGCATTTTCAACACACTTTATGAATGGGTCCGCTCCTCCACTCCTGTGATTTTTTTTCTCTCAGTGTGCAACGAGTACCTCAGGCAGTTGTCAATAGCACAGAAGGGAATGGCCCAGAGTCTGCAGATGTTGCCCAAGAGGCACCTCGAGCTCCTGGTCGGAAGCTGAGGCACCTCTCGGAAGCAGCTAAGGTGGCTGAGCCAGATACCCCAAAAGAAGAGCCACCCGTTCGAAAGCTGAGGACCAAGGAGCCTGCCCAGACACCCACTACATCTGCAGAAGCACCCGGACCATCAAGTGGTATGACCCATGACTCGTTGTTTGTGATTCAGTGTGTGCTTGCATGTGTGTGAAATCAAGATTGCAAAAATAAACATTTTTTTCCCACGTTTTTTGAGAAAAAGATGCTCGCAACCCATTCAATACCGGCAAAAGCCCTGCTACTATGTTTGCTTTCGCTATTAACTGAAGTTAATATAGCAGCAAATCTGTTCAAATTAAAAGAAAAGGCATCGTGCAATTACTCGGTACAGTAGACTCAGGATAATTTAAACTCTGATAATTCATACTTTCAAGTAATTCAAACAAAATTTTAATTTTTTGGTTGGCCCTTTACACTTTCAATGCCCTATAACGTGACGAGATTACCGACACAACATACAAAACACGCCATTACGCGCACTTTCCACTTTGGCTCGGCTTGGATTAAATCAAAGCTCTGTGCAATAATAGTACGCTTGATGCTTAAGAGATGGCGCTAGATGGCATGCGCTATCATCATTAGTGGCTGGAACGAGCAAACGACATTACTTCGGTGGTTTTTGGGGGTGTGATAATTACTCGAGGAAGAAAAGAAATCGAATTGTTGTTGGGCGATGTGGGGGGTGCGAGAATTACGCTAGTAAATACAATATAGCAAAGAAGCAGTTGGCAATTCTCGATTTCTTTAAAATGTCTGATCAGCAGTACATGGCCAATAAACTTCTAGACCTTACACCTCTGCTTTTTGTTCATTGGGTTCAGTTAGGGTTTAAAAACACTTTAAATTTTTAATTTTTAAATGTGATATCGATACCTAATAATAGAGGTTTTTAGTTTGACGTTTTTACGCTCCGCTTAGCAGCTAAGCAGAGCGGGAACGCGAGTGCGCATGCGCCCTCCGCTAAGGCCTTAAGCGGGTTACCGGAGCGGGGAATACGGTCCGCTTACGAGCAGCCTAAGCGGAGCGCGGTGCTTCGCTGCCGTTTTTGCAAGCGGAAGGGCGACAACCCGCGCGCCCTCTCTCGTGCGTGCAGCAACCTTGCTCATTTCAAGATGGCTTCCTCTGGAGACGGCACGCTTTCCGCGAGTGCTGCAGCTTCGCCGTCACCTGCCCAGTGCAAGCCGCGAAAACACAGTTTCAACGGTGAAAAATAAAAACGCCGCCACCACATACGCGTAAAATGCGCAAGCAACACATAGTGAATGCTTGCAATGGATCTGGAACGGAACCTTGTTGGCTTTTGAGCGGCTACTGTCAAGTCGTCAAAAAAATAGGCGGTTAATACATTGAAAGTGGATATCTAAATACTTCATGAAAAGTTCATTTATACGTTATTGTTTTGCTTTGTATACGTGAAAAAAATGTTTTTTTATTTTGTTTACCGACGATGAAAACAACCAGAGGGCGCTGCAACTGGAAAAGGCCCGCTTCGCTGCCGGCAACGAATAACTAAAAGAGGAAAATCGGCCGCCGCTCCGCTGCGGCTTCGCGGGTGCTCCCGGAGCGGAGCGGACCACAAAAACGTCAAACTAAAAACCTCTAGTATGTAGTGTATCATCTAGCCCAAATATGTAATAACTTCTGATAATTATAACTTCTTGATAATTCAAACAAAATTCAGAGGTCCATTGAGTTTGAATTAACGAGAGTCGACTGTAGCCTGTTTCCAAGCATGTTATAGTTTAAAGTGTACATTATAGAGGCTCTGCAATGCTTTTTGGAAATTAATAAAATGTTGCCATTCATTAGCAGGGTTAAAAGTGCTGCGCCAATTGCGCCATGCTGTGCCTAAACGACAATTTGCGCGTGTGTCGCCAAATTTAGCGGAGTCTTCTCATCGACCGAGCAAAATGTGTTGGATACGCAAAGGACACAGCCATATCCCATGTAGTTAGTCACGTCGTATTTCGGTTCATGCATGATTGAGCACCACGTGTCAATTTAACATTGTGCACGAATCTTGTGCCACGTGAACAAGATGTGTGAACATTGTTAAGATGAAAATGTGTGAACATTGTTAAGATGGTGTTTGTGTGCAGGCTGATTATGGGTGTTTATTTTTTAACAGCAAAGCTGTTAGATGGCAGTGGTGTTGCAAAAGACTCCCCTCGCACATACTCCTTGAAAATCATCATGTTTATCAACATTTCAAACTTGGCATAAATTTACTCTCTCGCAAGACAGAGATCCCCGCACTGTTGCCGAGCAATCGCCAAGCGCCGCTCACGCTCTTAGATGGAGGCCGTCAAACTATAAAAACTGGAAAAAAAATGTGTCCTCGGCAAAGCGATGAATGGAAAAGCAACAAATTGCAATGTTTTACTGGTAATGCTGCACACATTCCTTTTTCTCACTGCCCTGTTACATAAGTAATGCTGCCTTGCATAAACCGTGCCCGAACTTAGGTACGCCGCTGCTAGCGATAACGCAGGAATCTTCGATGGCATGCAGATACTCTTCACTGCTTGGCAGATTATCGACGGTTGATGCTCTGTTTGCTGCTATCAGCCTACAGCGTGTACCGTTTGTAGGATGTCATTTCGTTATTCGAGCTCAGGTTCGCTCAAGTAAAAAGTTCAGCCATGAAAACAGCGACTGCTGCCTTCGTCAACGTCATGACCCCATTAAAATACGAAGGCTGACAGCAAACTCTTTTGCATCCCAAATTGCGTTACTTTACAAAACGCTGGCATAAAAGAAAAAGGGGCGGTCGATCCAGGGAGAAATTTTCTTTTCGCTTGATCTCTTCTCGTTAGAGCGTAGAAGATTGTATAAACTGTGCGCTAATGATTCGCTAGCAATCGTGACAGCACCCTTAGAAACTAAGTTCACAGCTGAGCTGCTGCTCGAGCTCCCCCCCCCCCTGCATCTTTTGATGCTCATTCAAGATGGGCGGTGTGTTTTCTCTCTGCTTGAGAATTTGACGGCAGGTCTAACACACGACTGCAGGTGTAACACTCGCAACGCCATGGCTTAGCAATGGCGTGGCGAGTGTATCTAATTTTCCTCGCGATTCTCTTGTCAGCTCTGGCACTTCTGTGAGCACCCTATGGGCAAAAACCTTGGGAGTGTCCATACAATTCCCATTGCAATAAAATAACTTTCCGCACCATCGCCAAGCAATAGTGCGGCGAGAGAATATAATTTTTCTCGTGATTCTCATGTCGGCTCTTGCACTTCAAAAGCCTGAAGCCCACTTCCACCCCTACATTAGGGAAGGCTATTATGAACATTGCGGCCAAATATTATAGCGCTTCACACAGTATGGAATTGACAACTTTTTACACTATGGCATAAAAAAGCTTGTTCTGCAGCAATTCCGTGTCATAGCTTTGGGTGTTTTGGTTGCGACTGTAAAAATATAGAAAGATGCAAATAAATAAATCATAAGAATATTTGGTTCCAGAGAGAATCGAATCCTAGCCTTCTAAGCGGCAAGCAGGTGTTTTGCCACAGAGCCACAGCATTGCTTGAAACTGCCTCAGGGAAAAAAGTCTTTGTTTCCACAAGGGCAAAGCAATGAATGCGATATCAATAAATTAGAATGCCATGCGAGCAACGACAAGCAGCTCAAAATGTCCAGCGTGCTGCTCAAGCAAAACGGGGCACATGAAACGTTTGCACAGGTATACACAGGACGAGTGTGAACTAACAACTGTCAAAGTTATTGCGCTAAACAGGGCGCTTTTTAGCAAACTGCACCACTGCAGTAGGTGAAGTGACTTTTGTGCACTCCGTAACATCAATGCAATTTTTCCGGTGGAAGCGCAAGATGTACAAACCACTCCCACCACGAGGTAAGCACACGTGCACAGGTGACCGCGCCCCATAGGAGAAAGTACACGTGAGAGACAAGCGCATGCACTTCGTGCCATCTTGCTGGTAATGCAGAAAACAGGCTGAAAAGCTCCCAAAATCAGTTAACCGCCGGCGGTAAATGGTGCACATACAGTATAGGACTACTTATAACGTAACTCACAGGAGTCGCGAATATCTGCACTATAACCAAAACAAACATTTTTAAAGGGTCGCATTAGCGAAAAGCAGGTGCAAGCAGCCTTGCATGTCCGAGGATTGAAGCATGTGATGCGTGGTGCTTACAGCCTTTTAAATTTCCGAATTAAAAAAGAAATACACGTGTTGCCAATGAAATGAACACGAAACGGGGAGGGGGGGGGGATCTAACAAGAAAAAGTATCATTGCGAAAATTCGCCGACTTCTTCTAGGACGACCTTGATTATGCACATTATATAGAATGTCGAATCACATCATGAATTTCATGCTCTGAAACACTGCGAATCGTTCAATTTCATGGTCGCACACCCGATTTCAAGACGTCGCAGTCGAATCGTAAACCACCGTTAAACCACCGTTCGAGCGCAACATGTGCCACCCTCGTTTTCATTAACGATATGTACACCTTGCCGCCAAGTGTAGCAACTGCTACCGAAAGGCAACCAGTGTCGATTAGGCCCAGCCTACCCTTCAGTATGGTGTCGCGGAAAGTTTGTCCAAGACATGAAGATCCGGCGCCCAAAAGACCACACTCAAGCACTGAACCAAGAACAGTGTGCGTGATACGAAGTGGTTTGCGGCCAGGAGATCGACGACAAAAACCCACCAAGCTTACGTAAGACAGCACAATGGCAGCCAAGGTGAAAGCTCACGTCATAAAGCCGTAAAAGTTTTAAAATTCACGGACGAGGTAGTAAACGCTATATCTGTAGCAAGCATGATAATGACAACGCTTTTCCGGACAGAAAACTGTTAAGCGCAGTTGATAAGGACGGGATCGCACCGCCATCTTGGGCCGCGCGTGGACGAACCCTCGCTAGCGATGCCAGTGCAAGGGCTTATCCGTTGCCGAGGCAACTACCCTCCTATTCGGCGAGCCCGCACAGCATGCCACAGTCTCTTTTCCTTTTCATTGTCTTTCTTCCACTCTTTGTTGGTTCACACGTGTCCCCTCCTCCTCCATAACGACCTCATCACCTCCTTCCAGACGCAGACTCGCTACCGCGATTGTCACTAATATCT